TTGCACTTAGAGTTTTAATAATTCTTAAAATAGAGACGAGTGAGTTAGATAGAGACTTAGCTTTAGCGATACATTTTTAATGTAAAGTATACATATGTTTAATAAAGCACACATATCTAGTTTGACAGAGGGTTTAAAAAAAAAAATAGTAATAATTTTATTATAAAAGTTTTTAATTGAAAGCATTATAAAAAATAATTAAAATTAAGATAAGAAATTGGATATTAAAGATGTAAAAAAAGATTTATAATCAAATATATAGACAAGTTTAAATTATTAGATATAAAAAAATTATAAAATAAAAATAAAAAATCATTAGATATGAAGTAATTGGATTTTGATTCCTAATGAAATTTTAACAAGCGATAACCTGCAAGCAATGGTATTAAAAATTGAAAGGGTGATAAATCACTTTCAACATTATATATAGTTTATTAAAATAGAAATCTAAAACTAAGATAATTGAATTAATTAGATATATAGCTTTAATAACACGTATTCAATGTACTGTATAGCATACAAATATTTAATAAAACGTGCATAACTAACCCGACAAAGAGTAATAAAAAAAGAAATGATTATTAATATAAAGTATATGGATAAAAACAAAATTTTTTAATAAATTTATGGGAAACAAGGGAAATTAACCTTTTTTATTAATGAAGTGCATAATTGCACGAAATAATTTTTTTTTCTCACGCTATCTAATTAAAATAGTATTAAATTATTACTTTGATAAAAATTATTTTTATGGAATTCAGCCTATTAGTATTTTACACACGCAGATGTTTTATTGAAAGAGTAAGTAAAATAAGCCCGTAGAAATCTATTGTCGAATGAATAAATAATTAATCATAATGTTCCAAATAGCTCGTATATAAAATCTAGATAAATTAGTCGTCTCGAGTATTCTTGCGCTGAAAATGGAAATCCCAACTGTCCAGCAACTTTTTACTTGAAATTGTGTCCGAGTCTGACGCGTAACCATACGTGAATTGAGATAGATAAATAAACGAAATTCCCGCTAGGAGCAATATTACAGCACAAGCGATTTTTGCGATATTGTTGATTTTCGCATTTGATGTTGTGCGTGCATTTTTTGGTTTGTTAGGCGAATTGTGTGAAACGGGGTAGTTTACGGATTCAATAAACATAAAATTGAAAGTTGCTGCCGTCACCAGATAACTGAAAATAACTGAGGGGAGATAATGATGAAGGAACAAAGATCGACCCATGAGGTAAAATGGAAAATAATGAAGAGCCCACGCCAAGAAAAAGAACCCTGCGGAATTATACAATCGGTTACGGACAGCTAGGAAAAAAAAATCAATAAAAAAATTTGGAAAAGGGGTATCAATTAAAAAATTTGCGAAATCACTTACAATCCGGAATAGGTTTAATACCGCGTCGTCGAGATATAAGATCAGCAGCCATCACACCTACAAGGACTGCCATAGCACCAATAGCAAGCCACCAGGTAAAGGGATTGCCTAGTAAATAGATTTGTTTTTTATCATCGGATAAGGTCCAAAAAGATATTCCGCGTACTAAAAATGGCCAGTTGATTGGTGCCGAGGAGTAAGGATGAGGTTTAGTCAATCCAGAATTGTGGCTGATCATTAGACGTTGCAATTCAAAGAATTTCTTTATAAACGGGACACTCTTTATCTCGTTCTTTGGAACCTCTTGTTCGGTCACTAATGGTTAAAAAAATTAATGTACATGCGACACGGATCAGTGTGAAGAATAAAATTCTCGACAAAGATTAATCGCACAAGTCTCAACTACCAACCATTTTTACCAACGATTTCATCGGGATACCAGGTATTGGTCTTATCCTTATTGTTCTTATTTCCATTGATTTCTTGTTGGTTAAAACCCCATTCAGGCAACAAAACATTATGCGTCCATAGGGCTACTTTCGTTTCGTAATGAACCAATTTAAAATAACCGGATTTTGTTTTCCAAACAGTGTTTGAATCACCGTCATTTATGAGGACCTGGAAGATGGTCTCGTTGTAACGAGAATTGTCGTCTACCGAGATGGTAGTGAATTCCTGATTTGTGGGCATTGTTGGCGAAGCAACGTCATGTGTGAGAAGATTTGTTTGGGTGTTGACGTGTTCGAGCACTATATAATCACCATGCTTCACAGTGTCATTTTCAGGTCTCGATTGATCAAAGAAATTTTCTGCAGGTATAATACGCCAATGATTGTTGGAGTCTTCATGTGGATATCCTGTAACTTGTTGACCTATAAGATATATATTAATTATCATTTCGAATTATCCGAATTCTCGAAAGAAAAAAAAAAAAAATTTAAAATTACCATTACTACTGATACGCCCATCCTCGTATCTAAGCGGATAACGAGCGGTATGAGAGTGTAGATATACCTTGGTATCTTTGTGTTTCAAAGTGATGGTATCATTATACCTTATTTCTAATCAGAGAAGAAATCCATTAAAGAAGTCGAAATTAGACTGATAAAGAAAGCATGATCATTAGGAGAACAAACAATAAATTTACCCAAGCTTTGAAGATTCATTATACTTCCGTGCAATGTTTGTTGGAATGCAGGACTCATGAACGCGTCCCCAGTACCGCTTGTGTTTAATATGAGGAAGTGGATATAAAACCATAGTAGGTATACAAAGATAGGGACGATTATGAGACCAACGACGCGAGCTAAAAAGTGTTTTTTGAATTGTTCCTGTGGTATTTTATATAAAGAAAGTTATAAGAAAAGAGAAAGCCTTGCCATCTTCCAATATAATTAATCTACTACACGTTATGTGCGACAACATGGTTGTCCTCTGGTTGCCTAACCCGTTGTTACATTACTTACCATTGTCAATCCACGTTTTATATCCAACAAGTTCCACAAGTCATAGAGGACGGCATATCCTATGGTAATAACGGTGAAGAGTCCTACCATCTTTACGCTAAAACATAGAATCGGAAAGATCATCAAGTCAGATAAATAAAAAGAAGATATAAAGCGTGCATGTAATCTCCAGAAGGTTTTCAACCAAAGAGGCTTTCCATTACCTCATTGTTAAACCGAGCGCAACTCCGGTGGCAATCAACCATGACCACCATTCATTAGTGAATTCTCTGAAGCACAATGTAACAGGTGAGTAAATACGTGCAAAAGAAAGAGCTCGAGTGAAAGCGTATCCCAATATACCTCAACCGATATTTGTAGAACCGTATATAGCAATAGATTGTGCATAGCATGAAAAAAACAAGCATTGAGTCGAGAAGAATCAAACGAGTTTGGCAAACCAAGGCATTATCTGTCAAATATATTAGGGTAAGTATAGCTCTGTCTCAAAGTAAAAAGTCGACATATAATATAAAAACGATCGCTTGCCGAAAAGCACCAATCCGGCAGCCAATGTCGCGGTAACTATGGGATACCCGGATTCCGTCATGATCAGGTAAGTGAGGGGAACGAATAATGCGCCTAGAGTGGCAGGCAACATTCGAAGTCCCACATAAGGGACATTGTTCTTTATGTAGTCATCCCCGATATTGTCAAATTCAAAATGGCCGTCATAACCCAGCAGCCAACCCATAGCTGCAAACATTAATTTGCCGAGGGGTGGATGCACGTCAAAATAATATTCTCTTTTGAGATAGTAGCTCGCAAACTTTCCAAAGTGGACTTCATCGAAGCTGTAAAGTCAAAATTGACAGATTTCTCTTTTAACTACTCTTATGTTATTGATAAATGGCATTAGTAGAAGAAAAACTTACACAACTTGATCGGGATGGTAAATTTGGTAAAAGCGAGTCACAAAAGACAAAATAGTGAGAGTCACCAGAGCTATGGTGCTCTCGTTGTCTTGTCTTCGGTGGGAACTCTATAAAATATTTTAGTTAAGTAAGTTTATAAACTCTTTAACATTCCTTCTGACACTTTCAACAACTTGTCAAAACCTTCTTCTTATCGTCAAAATCTTCCTCGACAACATCTTTCGCCTGAGCGCTGAAATTTTTATCTTGCCTGTTACGAATTGTTCTGCTCTCTGACATCTTTTAGGCTCCGTATGTGCAAAAATTCATCGGTTTTCCAAATACATATATTTATAGATAATTCGAGATCGTGTTATTTGTCCATTGGAGTATCGTGATTATTTGTTTATATCAACTGTGACATTGCATTGTGTCACTAGAAATCTTTTTATCGTCCGATCTCAATCTCTCGAAGATGGCGACCCCGATGGACATAGACAATAAAGGGTCTAAACGGTCTGGTGAATCGTCCAATGCGCCGTCTAAACAAAGGGTTCACTTTGGCAGCCTCGAAGAGGTTGAAAGGCAAAGTAGAAAGAAGGCTTCTGCCACCGAGGTAGCGATCAATGACGCGTTTCGTCTAGAATTTCAAGGTATACTGACAAATCGTTATCTATTAACCCGTTAAGGACTCGGGCGGTATTTCTTTCGAGGACTTGGGTGAGCAAGTTTTTATACGTTTGTTAGTATTACCGCCACAATTCGTCGATTAGGCAATGCTAATACCACAGGTGAAGAAATAATGAATTATGAATTATCGGAATCATCGAAGAAGGCGCGCGAGGAACATCAGGCGATACTGGACGAGTTTGAGCGCAAGAAACGCGCGAGGACCCTCGCTGTGCCCACCGACGATGGTCGCGTAAGGACGAAGTTAAGAGAGCTCGGTGAACCACAATGCTTGTTTGGTGAAGGAGTACGTGTTATCCAATGAATTCAATCCCATTTACTTGCGTCGGATGTTAATCACAAGTTTGCTTATTCCTTCTAGCCAGGTGATCGTCGAGATCGTCTTCGATATTTGTTATCCAAGGCGGAAGGTACAGATATGGTGCCCGATGAAGATGAAGAGACTGAGAGTGAATCGGAAGAAGAGGTGATTCTTTAATGCCATCATTCTGATCTCGTAACCTTGGACTGCGCATATTGATGGGGTAGTGGACTTAATTAATTCTTATATGTAAAATTAGAAAGAGGAGGAGTTTTTTACCCAGGGAACTCCGGAGCTTTTAGAAACACGTCGTTGGATAGCAAGATATTCTTTGCCAAGGTTTGTGAACGATGTTAGTTGTCATCATTTATAGTCAACTCGAGGTGATCTTCTCAATTTACTATTACTTATCATTATTATTCCAAGGGCAAGAGATCGCCTTCAAAGGCAACGAACGGAATACGAATTGCCGTTACCGCAATTGAAATCCGTGAGAAAAGATTTGTTTACCGAATTGAAGGTAAATAAATAAATATATATATATATACAAAATAGGTTACTATTATTGTTTGACCGCAATTGATTCAAAAAAATGCTCACCATCTAATGTTCAAAATAATTATCTCAAGTCATATGCAAATTTCAGTTCTCAAATTGGAGACGACCGGCCAATATCACAGTGCGCTTTTTCGCCAGATTGTAACCTCATCGTCACCAGTTCATGGTCAGGGTCATGTCGAATTTGGAGTGTACCAAGTTGCGAGCCGGTGACCACATTGAAAGGTTTTTGATTTGATCATTTAACACAGAATCAGAGAATTGTTTGATTACAGGAGTGCACCTATAAGTGTTCCATTCCGTTATGATAATGTAGGTTTGCCAAATTATAGGACACACTGATCACGTTGGCGGACTTGCCTGGCATCCACAGTCTACTCTTTCCATCGATAGGAACGTGGTAAATCTGGCGTCCGGATCGACGGATAAGTTAATCCATCTCTGGTCCTTGGAGAATGACACGCCCATAGGCTCATTGAGGGGTCACACTTCAAGAGTCGCAAAAGTTGATTTTCATCCTTCCGGGAGATTCCTTGGATCAACGGGGTACTTTTATTTACTTAATTAACGAATTCGATTTCCAATTATTTATTCCTTTAATTATATATAGTTATGACTACTCTTGGCGTCTGTGGGATATTGAGACGACCAAAGAACTTCTCTTACAAGAAGGACATTCGAGAGAGGCCTATGCCATCCGATTTCAAAACGATGGTGCATTGGTTGCCACAGGGTACGTGAACGCATATCAACGGACACTATAATGACAAAAGAATTACATCTCACAATCAAAATAGGGGATTGGACGCTATCGGAAGGGTCTGGGATTTAAGGACAGGTCGTTCTGCCATGGTACTAGAAGGCCACGTCAAAGAAATTCTTTCTGTTGACTTCTCACCAAATGGGTATATAAAGCATATACTCATAATGTGTTGATTCACTTTACTTCTGTAGTAACTTTACAAAGATACGTTATCACAGTTACCAGGTGGCCACCGGAAGCGCCGATAATTCGGTGCGTATTTGGGATATTCGAACTTTACGTTGCAGTTATACGATCGCTGCACATAAATCACTGGTATCGGACGTGAGGTTCTTTCACGGTTCGGTGACATTTGTCAGTGAGGAATGGGACAATGGAGTCAGGCCAACCATATCAGGATTGTATATGGTAACATGCGGGTATGATGGCTTTGTAAATATTTGGTCATCGGATGATTGGAATTTGCTTAAGAAATTGGCGGGACACGACGGTAAAGTAATGTCGATCGACATTTCTTCAGGCACGTATTCATTCGATATAAATTATCATAGGTCTAATGATTAAGATACATTAAACTCAAAGATTTATCTTTATTTTCCTTTTTAACAGATAACAAATTCATTGCCTCCTCGGGTTTTGATCGAACGTTCAAGTTATGGGCGAACGAGAATTTGTCAATTTAAAAAATTATTCCGACGGAACGTGGACACCATTAGTATGACGAAAATTATATTCCTTTAATAAATCGAATAAATTCACATCACGACGATGCAGTCTCAAATTTGTCTTCGTTCTGCCACAAATTTCTCACTTGTCTACCGAATTTCTAAAGATCATTCGTCTCTGGGAACCGGCATCCCACAAGGTTGTAGCATTTTCTTTTGTCAACGCGTAGAAAATAAGTGAATTTATATTCGCATGTTGACAAAAATAAAAATAAAAAAAAATATCAAAACAAAAGATTACCTCGACGAATTCAAATTTAACTCTCGCAATGCTTTCATTTTGTGCTACCGAGAAGTATGATATCAAAGCGTGGTGACCAATATATGATGCGTAACTGTCTCGATGCTGATTAACCAACCACTCGCTGTCAATTCGCGAGCAATTTATTACTTACGCAGGAGTGGCGAAGAAGTGTCAATGAAAGGACACAAAATAATACTCACAATTTGTTCGTGTCCGCGTGACCCGTCCCAACATATTTTGATTGCACTGAAAAAGTTTAATTCAGTTTTAGATTTGTTGTTTCTTTTCTTTGAACTTTAGGACGAGGTATCACGATAATAATAAAGAAAAGCAGAAACTTTACAATGCTCGAGTTGACTGTTGAGATTGAAACGATCCTATGATAGTTACAAAAATCGAGTTAATATTAGGCTAACAGTTTCTTTCAGCGCAGGAATGTGTGGAAAGTAAAATAACCATTTCTCAAAAAAACCAAAATTGCTCAGCGTTTGGACACTTTCAGATGCATTTGGTGATTAGTGATTACGTATTGCGTAGCACGTAATATGTGAAACTATAAAAATTGTACAAATGAGAATTTTATAATTATTATCTGTTCATTCTTCAGGATTTTTTGTCGAAATGGATCGATCGGAATTGCTTAAGCAGTTCATGGGCATAGTCTCCTGCGACGAACAACAAGCTAATTTTTACCTGGAAGCCAACAACTGGAACTTGAATGTACTCACAACTCCTTTCTTTTGACAAATTTTTGAGTAGTCGGTTGCCCCATTAATTCGCATTTTGGTTAATTCAGTCAGCGTTGAGTAATTTCATTGAAGAGCCTATGGGCGGTGTTGAACAGGAAACTGTGGACCCCGAATCGTTTAATGCGGAAGGCTCATTTCGAGGGGAGCAAGATTCTGCTTCTAATGCCACCCCCGGATCCTCCAGTAACAATAAAAGGTTGGTTAAACGCTTTCTCAAAATTTTCATTCCGCCTGCTTCTGGATATGCTCTGATATATCTGTGGAATTAAAACAAAGTTCCTCTAAGCCTCGAGTTGCCACTTTACGCGACCTAGACAAGGAAGTGTCTGAGGAAGAGGAGGAAGAAGAACGCGAAAATTTGTTTGCTGGTGGTGAAAAATCGTCCGTGATCATTTATATTTTACTAAAGCTGGAACGTTTAAAATCGATAATTGACAAGTTTTCGAAATTGAAACTCATCCAGTGGAATCTTCACACAAAATCCAAACGCAAAATCCCCAAAGTCTGCGAATTCATTAGTGAATGACATTCTGAAAAAAGCTGCCGAGTAAGTTTGTCGTCACAATGGACGATCTTGTAAAGCGCAATAAAGAAAATAACCAGTCTATTCCATCACAAAGAGGTGGGCGTGGGCCGGCCGAAGAACCTGAAACCCCTACTGCGATTCCACAATCATTCTTCACCGGCACTGGTAAATAATTATTCCTAGTCTTATGATTTTTAATGGTAGCAATTTTGACCATAAGGGACGAAACTTTTCGAATTTCAGGATACAAGCTTGGTAGTGAAGAAGAACCATCGGTTGAGATCGCAAGTCCAACCGCTCCTACAACAGACGACGAGCCTCTCAGAGCAGTATGTCACTGTGTTTATGGTTCTAGTGTGAAATGGAATTCAAGATTAGGTTTCGTTTTAGGTTGTGCGTCACTTAACATTCTGGAGAAATGGATTTAGCATTGATGATGGACATCTAATGTCTTATGATGATCCTGAGAACGAACAATTCTTGAAGGAAATCAATTTAGGGTATTAACATAGACGAAATAACCTTACCATCACAACCAGCTTTATTTATCATTTAACTCGATTTTTTTTTTTTGCTTAACAATTAGACGTGCACCCTTGGCTTTACTAAACGTAAGACCCGGTCAACCTGTAGATGTTCGCGTAGCTCGAAGATTGGATGAAGATTATAAGCCTCCACCGAAAAAGCCTACACAGCCATTTTCGGGTTCGGGACAAAGGCTTGGCAGGTCTGTTGAATTGTATAGAGTATTATATGTGAACCGAGTATTTAGTGTCCCTTTTCTTAAAAAAAAAATAGCACATTACCTTCGTTAGTCTCGAGCAGTACACCTGGTGCATATCCTTCCACATCATCTTCATCAAATGCTGTTAGCACATCGATGCAGGGGGGATCCGAATTAGAAATTGATGAATCAATGCCAATAACATCAATTCAAATTCGGTTGGGTGATGGAACAAGGTAGGAAGCGCTTTTCGGCTTATTTCGTCTGCCAAAGCTGCTCACATTATTGCTTCACGCACGTACTTGTACAATCCAATTAGGATGCTTGCTAGATTCAATCACACTCACACGATCAGGGATATTCGCAATTTTATTAACGCGTAAGTTATGATCTTTAATAATTCTGTATATATTTATTTATTTATTTATTTATTTAGCATTGTAGTGACATCTGCCAACTTGTTTATGTATAGGTCGAGAATTGGCGAATCATCACGCACCTACGTCCTACAAACCTCATTTCCCCCAAAGGAATTAAAAGATGAGATGCAAACCTTATCCGACGCATCTCTTCTTAATGCTGTGGTTGTTCAGCGATACACATAACATGCCAATAGTTACACATAAATCGACATAAACCAGAAAGCCAGATGCTTTACAGATCCTTAAATATATCTTTAAATTTTCTTTATTAATTCAATAGATCTTGGGAAAAAGTAAATTGTAATGTACGCTTCCTATCAAAAACATGCACGCATCACAACGGAGTGTTCCGAATAATAAAAAGGCGCATGTTTACTTTCGATAGGAGAGTGTAACAAAAAATGACAGGAGCGTCTCTCCTCAGAAATAAGGACTATCAAATTGGATGGAAGGGGGAAATAATGCAGAGCATATTTAGTCTTCTTTAAACAATCACCAGACTTCTTGTTGATATCTTCCTGTTCTTTCCATTAAAGTTATATAGTTATCGGCATCTTCATCGGTCATCCCGCCTTCAGAAATAAATATTGACTTGAAAGCATTCGTGACGTCTGTTGGCATCTTGTCTGACCTCCTGTGATTTTCGAAACGACAAGTTATTACTACTATTCTTAGTAGGGTCAATATGTTCTATTTACAGAACAATGCATATTATATACCCCGAGACATATATGTGTCCTTCTCTCTCATGCACGATCTCCCACACCAGCTGAGCATTTTCCTTGAGAATATTTTGGACATAAATTTTCTCGTTCTGAAAGTTAATAGATTTTTCAGTTTAAGTCATGAAAAGAGGGAAGGGGGTACTGTTATTATTTAAAATCATCACCGGATCCCTGGAGAATGCCGCAAATACTTTCAATTGGCCCTCTCTAGCATATCTCTCCCATTCATCCTTATAATAATAATCCTTGTCGCGGTTTCGACATCCGAAAAATAAATAGTTCTCTATATAGGAGAGGAAAAAAAGGGGGTTTTTTTTTTTTTTTTTTCAAAGGATTTGTTAAAGATATCGAAGAAGTTCCTAAACGCAAACCTGTTGCGCCCTCTGATACACGTTGTTGCACAAAAGCTCGCATGACTGAAACACCGGTTCCTAATCGAAGAGTGAATCGATGTATGCTTCGTAAATGAGTTGAAATGTCAGACACAGATTCGCAAGATTTCCTTTACCTGGGCCAATGAGAATAATCGGAGTAGAAACAGAGGCCGGTAATTTCATTGTACCACGCGTAATTTTAATCGGAATAATGCATCCTACAAAAACAATTCGACATATGAGCATCACCGATCCTCTATGGGGTTGAAGTCATTGCACTGACCTGGTTTCAGACCCGACAGCCATTTCGTGCAAACACCTGTCCTAGGCTTGTGCAACCGGGTTTTGTAATTTACTATGGCAACCGTCAGATGAACTTTCCCCGGGTGTACTTTCAAAAAGGACGATATCGAAAATTGTCGAGGTTGTAATGGGGGAAATATGTCGGGTATATATTCCAAGGGTATTTTCGCTGAAGAAAAGTCTTGAAGCACCTCAGCTATTGTGCGTCGAACGCGTTGATTATACGCGTATAACTCGTCCTGGAGATGAAGGTGTTTCGTGAGTTATCAATAGCATGTCAAGCGAAAAGTTGGATGATAGCTTGGGCACATACTTGACCCTCTGCAGAGCAAAATTCTCTCAACTTTTCAGTGTGATCTTCATTAGTTGTGAAGAAAGATAAGTATTCAAAGAATGATCTACGAGGTGTGCTAAATATGTCCAAGTGATTTTCAAAGAGGTTCCTCAACGTCAGTGTTCGATTCAGATGAGGAGGTACTTTACGATCTAGATTTTTTTTTTTAAGAAAAGAAAAAAGTTATTGAGAAAGAAGCCTCTCATTGAAATACGTGGGCCCTTGACTGTGAAACCAACCCTCATCATTGGGCACAAGAATAAAAGTATCATCTGCGGTATCAGACAAATTTAACAACTCGAGAAATTCGTCTACGTCTTCAGGAAGATTCATTGGGTAGAGTACAGCAACATCTCCAGGATTAAAACTAGTGAAAAATGTTGTAAGAGAGCACGAATTCTAAAGGAATTATTCTATATAAATAGTAACTCACTTCATATCGGGATCATCGACATCTAATTCAATGTGGCGAACGTCTTGGAAATGGTCATGTGCGGTGACACGTTCATTTTTGACCAAACGAGCCATGATATAATCACCTTCAGCCATTCTAACATTTTCCGGATCTTTTTCAACCTGACCATCAATGAACTGAACGCGAAAACTAGCTGGTGTGATTGATCGAATGATGAGGTGTCAAGGGCTAAGAAGCTAGCTCACGAACACAAATACAGCGATGGTTGAAGGATATAATAAAACATCATCAGGGAGCATTTCCACATTCGGTGGTAATGGGTACTCTTTCATTAGCACTTTCCAAAGTTCTGATAACCACGGATCAAGCGTGCCATCTATGCTAACGTCACAATTTGGATTAACAAAAGGTTCTTTGCTGATGCACGATATTTTTTCTTTTTGAAACTAACCCAAGATAATGTTGGTCATCTCCATCTCCACGGGGAAGTAAGCTTTGAGAGCCTAGTTGCACAAGTCGTTTATAGAGTTTCTTGGCGGGCCAGCTATACCTTGTGGTGATGAATCGTTCAAGGTTGAATTACAAGTTCAAGCTCAAGTAGTGAATCCGGAATATATATATCTCCTTACCTTACGTATGATGAATCTCCGAGACCAAATACCGCAAATTTTAATTGATTCAAAATGTCATTTGGAAGGTTTTTTCTTAGTAAAAATTTCCAGAATTTCTGCTCGAAACAAGTATGCACGTTTAACGCCGTCTAACTAGAAAATTATCCGTTCGTACTTTTATTAAACCTAAATGTGAACACACTTTCATGTTATCCGGCTCATCGCCTTGCCCAGTTGTCGAACAAACAAAAATCGCAAGATTTTCATCAATCAGATTGGCCTGGATATATTATGTTGTGACAATTTGTACAATCGAAGGTGATTTATAACAAAGATATGAATCGATTAAATTTTAGATTAAAACGACTAAGTTCTAGAACATTTGACCTTAATTATCTAAATAATGCCTTTTTTTTTTTTTCTTGAAACTACGATTTACCCTATCATAAGCGTCCATTGAAAAAATTCGAGTTTTGAAATGACGTCTCCTCGCCTGCCTCTCGATCCTTTCAGCAACATCTTGAGCACAGCCCGTCTGACTTCCATAAAGAATGAGTAGCTGACGTGTTATTGAATGAGAAGCATTATCCTTTGCGAAGGAATTTTCTTCATTGTTTGTTGGCATTTTAATTTAACGAGTTTAACATCATTTTGATATTTCTTTTTTTTTTTATATGTATATTATAATCAGTGATTGTAACTCCTGCAAGCTCATTGGCCACATTTGGACTAGATATTTAGGTGTTGGTCGCGACATCACATCACGTTAAATCTTCAAAAAAAAAAAAAAAAAAAACGATCATCAAATTATGGAAGAAGAAGAAAACGCCCAATCCGCTTACAATCCAGAGACCGACGAAATTAACTGGGACTGCCCGTGCCTCGGTGGCATGGCCAACGGCCCGTGCGGTGAACAGTTCAAAGTAGCCTTCTCATGTTTCGTGCACTCGACTGCTGAACCCAAGGGCGTAGACTGTCTGGAGGCGTTCAAGAAAATGAATGAATGTTTTAAAGAACACCCAGACGTATATGGTGATGGCAAGTATTTGCACGGAATATTAATCTCGAGGTTTCCTAATGTACTCAATTAATATTGTATGCAGAGATCGCTGACGAGGACGAAGATTTGGAAGAAGAAAATGAAGAGATCTCGGAAATTATTACAAGAGAAGTTGAAGGAACTTCGGGAACAAGTACAAAAGAAGCTCAAGAAACTTCAGAAGCTAACATAAAAGATGTTCGAGAAACGTCGGAAAATAAACCAGAGGATGTTCAAGAAACATTGGAAACTAACATTAAAGATGTTCGAGAAACACCAGAAACCAATACAAAAAATGTTCAGGAAACTAATACAACTAAAAAACACGAAAGATAACAATGAATTAAAAACTGAAAACCACCTCCATAACGAATGTTATCGGAATGATATTGCATATGATAGTTTTAACAATTTCTTTAAGAGCTGAGCAGGTAAAAAATCATTTCCTTTGCATTAGACGTGGTGCATTGTAACGCGTTTTTTTTTTTTTTTATTAACCTTTCAATCCTTGGAAAATGCCTACCAAATTGAAAGTGGTTGTCATGGTGCTTTATTTAAGTGTGTCGGCGAATAAATTTCCGCAGTTTGTAATACCATTGAAAACCCTTTATGGATGGGGGTTTTTTTTATTCACGAAAAATTTTTGTTTGGATCACTAAATTGAACCCTTTTTTAGAAAAGATTTCAATCACATAAATCTTTTTTTAATTTATTCAAATTATATGTGACATATATTTTTGTGACTTTATAATACATATATATTCTTTAGGTACAATATATTTCGTTCCTTTGACAATTACTCTAGAAATTTTGATGTGGCTATTGTGGCGCATTTTGGGCAAAATTTTCATAATTCCGGCTGGAATTATAGGTGCGTTAAACGCATAATATTTTTAAAAACTTAATTCGTGATTTATATGTCAATTACATAATACACTTTCAATACTTGTTGTTGCTACTTGTGTTTTTATATAATAACTAATTCAAATTTTGAATTATAATAAATTTTTCTTTTTTTTTTTTTTTATAAAATCATTTGAAATAAAATTGATATATAAATTTTAATTTGTAACTGATATTGAATATAAACTTTTTATTAATATAATAATCTTAAAATAAATTATATATAGTATTTATATATATATAAATTAGTAATTTATTATAATTATCTTAACCAAATTCAATATTTATTTATTTCATGAATTAATAGTTTTAATCAAAAATTAATTAATTGATATATAACTATCAACAATATAATCAATATAATTAGTTTAAAACTATATATTAATTTAATTTTTTATTATATTATATATATTAACTTATATATCATAACTCAAATTTTTAAAAAATAGTTAATTATTTAAATACTTTAATATCTTTCACTTGAATTTCAAAAAATATAAATTTTTTTTATTAATTTTTATATTATAATATTATGAATAAAATTTGTTTATTAGATTTTTTATTTAAATATACAATTACTTTCAAATATTTGAATCCACTTACTATGTTTTTATTATGAATCTCAATTTTAACAATTTCTAAATCCTTAATTATGCAATTAAAAATTATAAAATTTATATATATTATATCTTAATACTAGTTTTATTTATCATATTTTTTTAAACCTGTGAGTCAATAATACAGTGATAGTGTTCCCAGATCACAATCACAAGGTCTTAATTCAATATCACTTAAGGACCAAAAATCAAAAATTATCTTCTGATCAGGTTTTACTGGTTATCCTATGAAAGTCATATCCAATAATCCAGAACAAGATCCAATCAAATTAGACTACAAGAAGATAAGACTTCTGGCCTTCCATTGATCAGGGACTGAGATTTACGGTCATACTATCAAAAGGATTGCATGAAGAAAAAACTGCTGGTCTAACCTACCATAAATACCCCCAAGACCTTCTGCCCTGGTAGCCTCTAGGACCCCTACTCTCCTAGCTCAGGATATCCCAATCTGATGTACCATTTAATTAAAAATCAATTAATAAGGACTGATCCAATGTCACAGATGGTGACAAAGAAGATAACATGTCTTCTTCCGAAATTTGAGCAAATAATATCTAAAAATATTGGAGAATATAAAAATATCATGTTGAGTACACACAAAAAGAATTAGTTTAGTGAAACAATAATAAAAAAACACAAATTAACAAACTTAATACTAACTAGTCTAGTTATATCATTAATAACTATGTATTAATTATCTAACCCCTAGTTAGGTCTGCCCACTCAAGGAGTGGTAGTTGATTTAACTAGGACAAACTGTGATAGATTATCATTAATCTGCATGTATATAGAAATATATAGTTTGTATGAGATGATTGATGTTAAGTTACGGATTTAGTTATCCACCAAATATTAAGTTAATTCTTAATAAAGCTTACATCTAATACCAGTTACGGTTTAAAAAAAAAAAAAATTATCATATTTTTTTCAAAAATTATTTATATATAATTTTTAAAATTTTATTATTATTAAAAATTTTTTTCCTTTATCAAATTTTTACTTTTAGAGAATTTGATTGACTATTATTATAAATAATATTATAATTAATAAAAAAATAAATATATATATATATATATATACTGTATATATTTTTTAACCTATAATCATATTAAAATGGATTGTTTTTATTAAGATACTTAAAAAATATCAAAATAATTCATAGACCTTCTCATATAATAACTAACTTGTTTTTGTACTTTATTGATTAAAGGATTACATTATTTAAAAAATATATGGTATTCACTAAACTAGTTCAAATTAAACAAAACTAAGTTCCAATTTAATACTTTAAATTAGATTTAGGGGACAATATTATACTTTCCTAGTAGCTTGACATAGTGCCTTTAAGTTAACTAGAGTTATTGTCAACAGTTTGTTATTGTTAATTATTCTGAAAAATAATAAATTGCTGAAGTTGAAACTGGAAAAACAAAAAACAATTCAAAGCCCTTCAAAAGATTCTTATATCATTTTATAGTCTCTTCTTAAAAGAGGTTTTCTTGATTGGGATATTCTTTTTTGTTTTATTTAAATCTTAGAAGGAGTCTTCTTTATTGTCACCTATAACATTAAATGAATTTTTATTTAAATATGCACTGGATTGGGATAATTCAAGAGAAACTAAAAAACCTCAGCTTTCACCTTAAGAAATCTTTTCACTACCTAAGAAACTTAGAAAAGGGATAGAATTTATTTATGTGGATTCATCCATCTTTTGGTGTCATAACTGTTTTCTAAGATTGAATATACATAATTGAAAAAAATTTCTTCTAAAACTTTCTTTTTTATATTACCCATAATTAGGGATTGCAATTTTTATCTGAATCTGAATGATCTATGGATTTGATCTAAATGAATCAGATCGGATTTTAAATTTTTTTATTCATTTGTATACAAATCGGATATGGATTTTAAATTTTGAAATTCGATCTGATTAGATTTTAAATTTTGTATCTGATTAGATTTTAAGTTTTAAAATTTAGCCAGGTTCAAATAAAATTCAACAGTTTAACTATATAACTATATTTAAATGTAACTATTTAAGGTAATTAAAAAAAAACCCCCCTTGAATTTTATTTTTATATTCCTTTAATATCTTTACATGTTTCTTTAAAATTTTGTGATATTTTTTATGATATTATTCTCTTTACAACATTACTGGTATTATTTACATCAAAAATAAAATGGAATATGATAGTTCTTTCAATGATTTCAATGAAATAAATAATGAAAGTTTTAGTTTAGATAGCTATGAATTGAGTGATACCAGTAATGTTGATACAAGTAGTTTTTCGAAGATATCATCGAGTAATAAAATAAATTATAGAAGTAAAATATAAAATCATTTTACAAAAGATTCCGATTTCCATGAAAGTAAAAATGTTTCCTGCAATTATTGCAACACCAAATATACCTGTAGTGAAGGTAGTACCTTTAATCTTTTCAAACACTTAGAAAAAAACCACCTGATAAAAATAAATCCATATTCCAATAAACCTTTAATCGAAAAATTTTTTAATAATACAATAGTCAGTATAAATATATTTATTAAATTTAAAATTATACTAAAATTTGTTTTTTATATAATGGGTATATAAACCTGAAAAAGTAAATCAAAATCTTATCTGATGGATTATTATAAACCAACACCTTTTTACAATCATAGAGGAGCCAGCATTCCATATATTTATCCAATCAATCTCACAAAAAACTAAAATATCAGCTGTTGCAACTGTTAAAACATATATAATGGATTCGTACTTGGTTGATCAAGAAAAAATTAAAAAAATTTGCAAGAAGTGGAGAGTCATATTTCATTTATCTTCGATATTTGGACATAAACTTTGATAAAGGCATTTCTAGTGATAACTGTACATTTTATCAGCAGTGATTGGAAAATGCATAATATAACATTAGATTTTATACAAATCTGGGACATGCATACAGGTGAAAATATCAAAGCAAGTTTTGTATTGTGCTTAGAAAAATATATGATACAAAAGAAGATAAATTTATTTTACATTAATATATTACAGTTACATATTATAACATATATATATACAGTATATATTTTTTAAAGATAATGGGAATAATGACTGACAATACATCAAATAACTTATTATTTATTAAATCACTGGAAGAATGTAAAAACTTGCAAGCAATTTTTTCGATGCAGAAGAGAACCATTTTCAATATCTTGCATACTACATTAATATCAAAATCCAAAAAGCCTTAAATATACTTTCAAATAAATTGCAAAAGGTAAATTTTTTATAGATAGGTTATTTTATTTTTATATC